CCTTCCGTTGTGAGATTAATATCGCGAACGTTACGCGTTGTTATAATGGCATACCGATACTCAAATATTAAGTATACCGAAATGGTGCGAATTTTAGCAATTTGCAATGATAACGTTAGTGAAGCCTGCCGTGAATATTCAAGGCGATTTCCCAACTCACGTGCACTGAGCTACGGTACGATGCTAGGTACTACACAGCGATTGCGAGATTACGGGCAATTCCAGCCTGTATCAATCGATCGTGGTCGTCCACCGCGGCGCACAGTACGGGAGCAGGAAGACATACTGCAGTTTTTTGAACAAAATCCAGCAGCGAGCACATAGGAGGCAGCCCGACAGTTCAATGTGTCACAGTACTACGCATGGAGTGTCATACACAATGAAGGGAAGTACCCTTTCCCCTTGCATTGTGTTCATGAACTCAGCGAAGCTGACAAACCAGCGCGAGTTAAATTTTGTAACTGGTTACTAGCTGCTGAACGAGCCAACGAGCTTGTGGTGCTACGAAAATCCACATGAACCAAGACCGCATAGCTTTCAACACCGGTTTAGTGTCAATGTGTGGGCAGGCGTCATTAATACAACGTTACTGGGCCCGGTCTTCATAGAAAGATTAAACGGTGAAAGCTATCATATTTTTCTCACCGACACGCTGCCAGAGTTGTTAGAGGACATACCACTTGCATCTCTACGCAATATGTATTACCAACTTGACGGGGCGTCGGCACACTATGCTCGCCAAGTTAAGGATTATTTAAACAGAGAACACCCTGGTCGCTGGGTCGGTCGAGACGGGCCTTGTGCATGGCCTCCCAGATCGCCAGATATCACACCAATGGATTTTTATTTGTTGGTGCATGTAAAGACACTAGTGTATACTGGTCGAGCATTCGAAACCCGCGACATGTTGAAAAAAAAATAATTTGGGCATTCGATCAAATCAAAATGAATCATCAACAGTGTCGGTGAACAGTTAAGTTTTAGGTGTCACCTATGCATAGAATGTGGAGGTGATTATTTTGAACGCTATGTGCGCGATACTCACCGCCATCCGCGGACAAGTACCTAGTTAAGTCTAATTTTTAAATTTGTATTTTAATATTTTTATTGAAACATTATACCTTAATATCTTTATTCAATTACTGTTAATTTGTATTTAATCATTATAAATATTTTATTGTAATATTTGTAATTATTTTAACCTGCATCCATTTTTTAAATACAACTTACATTAAATAAAAAAATAGTTAATAATACTCATTTAATTTGCACGTGCTGCAAACCTCAATCACCAAATCGATGCCTGCAAACCGAAAAGGGCAAGCGGCGCCTTTGATGACGGTGACACCTGTGTCGACGTTATAATATATCGTTGGCTTGGCCTTGGGCCGCCGCATGTACGACGTTGAGGCGTTGCCTCTTGGATGCAGGTAGAGTTGCTAGCAAACAGTATTCGTAAAAAACTACCTAAATGTCTATTAAAGAATGTCTATTAATTCTTAAAGAAATTAATAAAAGAATCAAATAGTTCATCAAATGGTTTTATGCAAAATAAAGAAGTATATGAAAAGTTAATGTAAAGTCATTTAAAGTGGCGCCCTGGTGCAATAGGCACAGTGATGAATGGTTTAGTAGGCTCTCGCAACAAGGGTTACCATATCTCAGGATTTGTCCTGAGATTTCAGGATTTTTAGACTCTTCTCAGGATTGCGGCTGGATTTTGCAAATCTCATGAAATCTCAGGATTTTTAGAACTTTCAATATAATACAGCTTACATTTTAAAAAATCTCTTAATAAAAAGTTAAACAAACTAAAAATAATTTTCCTTTGGTAATAATTCCACAATTAAAATCAAAACTTATTTATCCAAGTAGGTACTTAAACAGTTTTATCATACTTAATATGTGAAGATACCTTTTTAAGTAAGGTTTTCTTCTCAAACTGTAAAACAATCTCAGGATTTTTAAATGGAAATCAGGCCTCTTCTCCGGACTTTTAATTTTTTCATCTGGTAACCCTACTCACAACGCAATCAGCTGAGCGCGGGCATCGACCGGCCCGGCGATCATTCTTACTTATTATAAATTTTAATATTTGTGGTTTTTTTTGAATGTCATTTGCTCATTTAATTATGTTTAATGATTTTAACACAATGTTTGATACTGTATCAAGTGTAAAAATGCCTTATTTAGACATTTTCTTTGACGATTTATTCTGACATTGTTTAGGTACTACAAAATACAGACTTAAAAGGAGTCAGACATGACAACAAAATCTTAAAAGTAGTTTTTTCATAAATGTATTATATTCTGTGAAGAGTGATCTCACTAAAATTGTTTGTAATGATGTTACCAATATATTCCCAAAAGGTCTTCAGTAAATTAAATATGAACCTGTATATTCGTAATTTACTTGCTCATTATTTTGATTACTAAAATCAATAATTTTTTAAAAATATTTTAAGATTCTAAGCGATTTCTAAGCGGTCTAAATCGTTGCGGGCGCTACGCAATTTTAGACCTTATTACGGCGTTTTTGAAGGTCAGTCTGGCGATAGCTCCCTCCAACGGCTTTTGGTGTGTTGCCTTAAATGATATACGATAAAAGAAAAATGATTTTATTTAAATTTGACTGAATTTGATACAAAATTGATAATTATATAGAACGCGTTCACTGTGTTCAGAATGAAAACGTGACTGCTTGAAAAATAAAGTAAATGACGCAAAAGATGTTGACCTAAATAAATCACTTACTAACCAAAATGTACGGTAGCACTGTACATGCTCCCGGGCGAGAGATGAGAGCGATAAGATAGATAGAAAACATCAAAAATTATATAAGATAAAATGTTAATGATCTAAGATAATGATAAAGTTAAGAAACTCTTATAGTTAGTATAATGGTATCACTAATAAACATGGTAAAAATAAGTAGTTTAAAGTACATGTCCAGATTTATTTTCCTAGTTGCACTCAAGCACACTCGCGTGAATAATTCTTTATTTTAGATATCTTCTTTGATTTTCATCGAATCCGCTTGAATTTCATCAGGAAGCTCGTCGTCCCATTCTAAGTCGTATTGCCAAATTATTTGAAATAATGATTTCAATTTTGTGCTAACTGTTGTTAAAAACCTGCAGGGTCTTAGAGCTTTGAGATATTTGATAACGAACTTCCTTTTGTTAGTTTTGATGTTGATAAATCGAATTTAAAGTCAAAAGTAAACTGGTCCGATTGTTTAAGCCATCGCAGGCCTAAAGTTTTTGCAGATACTTCAGATTTTAAGTCCTATGTTTGCTCATTGGTATTTGCTGGGCTGACTCCTTATAGAAGAAACGGTGTATTGGCTGACCATTTTCTTAAATTAAATCCACCTGCTTTTAGTAAGTTTTTTAAGTCTGATTGTAGTTTTTAGCTGATGCGAGGTTATGGCTCCCACTGTTCAAGTCGTCCATATAAAAATGTTCTTGCAGGACATCCACTGCTAGGCTATCCTGATTCTTATGACCTTCATCTTCGGCTAACTGTTTCAATACCATCATGGCAATAAAGGTGCTGCCTTAGTTCCATATGTGACAGTAGTTAATTGATATTCTTATAAAAATTCTCTCTCAGTTGAATTTCTCCATATGATTTTTTGATATCTCTGATCTTCTTCGTGAATGAGAATCTGCCGAAATATTTTCTCGATGTCAACGGTTTAGACATATTGGTACTGTCGCCTGGTGAGAATCAGTGATAACAGGTCGTTGCAGGTTGGGTCCCCAGTATATAACGTCATTCAAGCTTAAGCCGCTCGATGTTTTTGATGCCTCGTTAAAAACTTCTCGAAGCGAAGTTGAAAAAGACGTCCGCCCCCAGCAACAAGTGTACTGGGTGGCTCACGTTGAATTCGGGATCGGCGAGTTGAATGTTTTCTAGATATGATCAGTCTGGTTTTTTGAATGTCTTGTGGGATAATGTTAATTAAGATATTCATGACAAACACATCTGTTGCAAATAGATAATCGCTGTAAGCAGATGAGCAAGTTATGTTAATAACACCTTTACAGTGTTTTTCCTTTGCTCCTACTACGAAAGTGACACCTTTGCACCTCTGTCGAGGAAGTTGTAGCATCTGAGCTGCCTTCTCAATAATCAGGGAGGTCTGGGAACCCTGATCAATCAGCGTTTGAATTTTGATATAGTTAAGTGCTACCTACACACTGTACTTTTACTAATTCTGTTGCTAAGAGGGCTTCATTTATATTGTTTTGAGACACGTTGTTAGCATTTTTACGTTGTTCTGCTCTAGAGGTCAAAGTTTTCAAGTAGGCCTCGTGTATGAGCGTGTTGTGTCGGACATGACACTCGAAGCAACGTCTTTCCGATATGCAATTTTTGCCGTGGTTTTAATTTTTGCATACTGGACATCCTGTTTACGTGTTTTTCGGTGCATAATTAGTGACTTGATTCTGATTGCCGGTGATGAATAATTAAAAATAATGAGGCTTCTTTTGATGAGATGTTGTTTCAGGCTTCAGATTTTGCAGTGAAGTCGTGTTTGCGTCGAGATGATGCGAGTGACGTAAATTTATTTTTGAAAAAATTTAAAAAATCTGCTAAGGTTTGCACATCCCTAGGATTCTTTAGCGATTCGATTTTATCTTTTTGAGTCTCAGAATCTAGTTTTTGAGACAAAATATGTACCACCAAAGGATCCCATGAGCTTATGTCTACGCCTAGGTTTTTATGGCATTTAGGTTTACATTTACGCTGTCATAAATTTTCTTGACATACAGTGCAGTGTAACAGCTCACTAAGCTGTCTTATTAGTCTAAATTAACTTGATATGAGCTGCGCTAGCACTTCTTATTAATTTGTGATCTGAGCTATGTAACCTTTCTATTTGTCTATGGTAAACGCCTCGCCAGTCGATGTCGCTCAGATCATAGTGATTATATACTCTTTCGTTGCTAATTATTTTAGATAATAAAACATAATTAGGTCTATGGTTCGTTATGGCTTCCTCCTATTCATATCCTGAATTATTTTTGGCGGGTTTTATATTTACCTTGCCATTTTTATATGAAAAAAGCAATGTTTTTCGATATTACTTAAAGTTTTTTGTTTATTATAGTTACGTATTAATAACGTGTACAGTTTTATTACCTGTAGTATTTTTTCATCCGCGCGATGTTACGAATCTCATGTAAAATATTGATTATTTTTAATCCTGTTAAACATTTACTAAAAATCTAATATAATCGATATAATATAGGAGCGTTCTTTGTTTTCAGCGTGGCTTCCCGATTTTGCCGTTTCGCTTCGCATATTATTGGCATTGAATGGGAATTACGCGGTTTGGAGCATTGGGATAACGAACAATGTTGCATTGTGATTTCCAACCATCAGAGCTCTTTAGATATTTTAGGTAATTTATTGCGTATTAATAACGTGTACAGTATGTATTTTCACATGTAAAATTATCCCTTGCCATTATTATATTTTTGTTTTACCTATAGGAATGTTTGAAATGTGGCCGCGTATGAAGAGATGTACAGTGGTGGCGAAGAGACCACTTATGTTCGCTGGTGCCTTTGGGTTTGGAGCTTGGCTTTCTGGTCTCGTATTTATTGATCGTCTTAAAACTGATAAAGCTCGTCAACTTATGAGAGAAGCTACAGAGAGAGTAATACGAGAAAAGGTATGTTACATGTATGGTTAATATATATATATATATATATATATATATTTTATAAATTAACTGATAATTACTAATAATAAATATTTTAATGGTTTCAATATTTTTAGACTAAATTGTGGATTTTCCCTGAAGGTGCAAGATTTAACAATGGGAATATACAACCATTTAAGAAAGGGGCATTTTATCTAGCAATTGATGCACAGATCCCTATAATGCCTGTTGTTTTTAGCCAATACTACTTTCTTGATAATGAAACTAAAACATTTGAACCAGGTATGACACATTAATTTCTTTCTTTAATAAAATTTTCACAGATAAATCCAACAAAGCCTTTTCAAGTTTACAGCTAGACTAATGTTCTTTCAAGAACATGCAACTTGAAAGTTCTGCTTTTATGCACCGTGCTGGGCAGATTTTAAGAATGTGCCATTTAGCATACATTATCTTGAGGATTTGACTATCACAATCCTGGGCAGGTGGATTGGTGAGTAGAAATTATACCTTCAAACTGGTAAAGCTGCCAATCTTCAGTGTATGAAATATGGGTTTCAGCTATATTTGGGTCCATTTTCTGCCATCAGTCAATCACCAGAGCTTTATTAGTGAACCAGAGGCATGCACACTATGTCTAGGTGGACATTTGGAAAAAAAAATTAAGATTTAGATGTATCACTATTCTATAATAATTTATGACAGTTGTTTTCACTTGGTGAAACTATAACTTCATTTATATAAGATTGATGCATGTGCTTGTTTTACTAATATTTTTAATAATTCACTATAAAACTGACATATTTCGCCTTACAGCACCATCCAGGGTTAACGCATAAATAGGATATAAATATTCTTTCTAATTTAACCTAACTATAAACTATTAACTGGTTTGTGGTCATTGCAGTTATTTATACATTGCACACCTCATATTTACTCTCGACACCTCAAGGTCAAGCAAATTGTATTAAAATTCCTCCTATCTCCATCAGTGGAGTAGCATGCCTTAGAGGGGCCCTGTATCAAAATTTGTTGCGGGGCCCAAATGAAGGGTAAAGATTTTTCACAAAAGGAACATAAACTCGCACTGAATTAAAATAATTATATATTGATTATAAGTTATCACTTACAATTAATATTCCTAGGAACTAAGCTATCCAAACAATTCAAACCAACATTCTGTCCCATAGAAGTGCTTAGAATTTTTTCTTACATACGTTTGGGGCCTCTGTAGCCCGGGAGCTCCATATCATTGATACGGCTGATAAGTTGGTAGCTACGCCCCTGATCTCCATATTGCACTTATACAATAATAGTAATAACCATATTGTGTTAATGCACCTACAAAACTCAACAAATTAAAAAGAATATCTTTTCAGTGGAACAAAGACTAATATTTTAAGTTATATTATGTATAGATACTAGCTGACCAGGCAGAGGTTGTTCTGCCCTTTCCGACGACAATTTGCTTTCCTAAAAAAAAACTCATGAAATTAGCAATAAAAAATTGAGGGTCACTTATTAGGATAAAAACTATCCTATCTCTCAAGTTGGACCAAACTGCACACAGTGTGCAAAATTTCATTGAAATCAGTTCAGTAGTGTAGGAGTTCATTGCGGACAATGTGACGCGTAATTTTTATGTATAAAGATACTATTATATTAATTTTAACAAGCGATATAAATAAAAACTAATTATATGTCATGAATTTTTTGCTATTTTGGTAACCAGTCATGGTAATATAAAATTGTTTCAAAATGTTTGTCAGGTTTTGCAGGAACTACAATATATTATGCTTGAAACATTCATAAAAATTTTAGTGCATTAAATTTTTCTTTTAGGGAAAGTAGTGATAACAACATTGCAACCTATTTCCACAAAAGGGATGACTCATAATGATATAGAAGCATTGTCTGAAATGGCACGAGAACAAATGATTCAAGTCTTCAATGAAAGTTCCAAGGACTTAGTAAAACATAAAAAGATTGCAATTTAAATTTATAAATGATACTGTGATCATCTTCCTCTTATGTTATCTCATTTTATGTAATGTTAAGTTTAGTAAAAGTAGTATGTCTTGAAGTTTAGTAAAAATTTCAGTATTTACCAAAGATAATACTTATTTATTTATGTATGTGATTTAATCTAGTCAGGATAAAGATTTAGTTAGGATTTTGCAATTTGTAAATTAGATACTACTAAACAAAATTTGATTTTTGTATAGATCCTAAAAAAATATTGCTAGTGTAATAAAATTATGAACAATTTATTGAGCTTCTAGCCTATTTACTTTAATATATACATTTTTATGATAGAGCAAATAACACTTTTTAAATCAATTGTTTATTAAAAAAATATTTGATTTAATGTATTTAGCAAAGTTAAGTTGTATTAAACCATGTTGTGGCAGTGTAAGATTATCCACTACTTCATATCATGCCATGTATTGTAATAAGCAGCAAAGGGAAACAAACTAGGAGATAGGCAGCAGCATCTTCCTAATAACAATTCGAAAATAAAAAAATCTTCGGTTTCCAACTCGTCTGCCAAGTGTGGCAACTATGGCAAGTATCTCCCATAGGAAGCAATATATGAAGAGGCTTACGTTTGGGAGTGGACTTTGGATAGGCTGTGTGGATGGAAATTTTATTTAATATATATTTTAGCAATCTATATTAGATTTCAAATGGGTTGTTTAGTCAAAATTGATTATTATATTCTTTTGGAGAAAAAGTTTAATTTTATTTACAGCTCTATGTTGCCTTATTCTAAACTGTTATAATTCTTGCCATAATTACATTATTAACTATATTTACACTTATTACATAAATTACATTACTTGTAGAAGGACAGTTGTAACAATCATAATATATGAAATTATAAATAAAGAATTTTGTTGAATTAATACATGACGACCAAGAATTTTAACTCCAATTTTCCCCCCAGCCCTCATTTTCATCACATTCTTCATCAGGAACAAAGTTTAATTTGCTACTTATGTCTTGTAATTTATAAGGTGTTGATAAACTTAAAACCTTTTGTTTTTCTATAACTGGCATCATGTCGGCAAAGAAGTCAAATTCATCGCCATTTTTTTTTGAACGATCATTTTTTTGATATTTAATGTCCAATTCCGATATATCAACAATGGTTTTCTTAGCTTCCAATTCTGCATTTTGTAACAAAGTAATATCTGCTAATGATCTCTCTGTTACAGTTTCTTCAATAATATTTATGAGATTAACTTCTTCTAATTCATCATCAACATGAACTTTATTACCAACTATATCATCATTACTATTTTTTTCTACATCTAAAGTATGTTGGCGATTTGAGTTATCCCAATCATCCCATTCATTGTCAGAATCAACTAAGTTATTGGCATTTTGTTCTAGTACTATGTTTTCATCTTGTGATTCACCTCCAACTGGTGAAGGTCTTTCATTTAATGTTATCGTCTTTTCAAAAGTTAAACTAGAACTAGTGTTATAAATTTCTTCTGAGCAATGGAAATCACTTATGGATTTTGAAAACCTTTCACCTTTCTGTACACTTGTGCCCATCATAATATTATTTTTTGATTTAGGTCTACCATCAGTGAAATATTTTAGCCTTTTGCCTCCTACAACGGCTTCCGCTCCTAATATTGGAACCAATACACTAAGGCAAACTAAAGTTGATGCAACCAAATTGTCATCTACATCTTTAATGCCAAGTAATAACTGAAATAAAAAAAAAGTTAATGTAGGTATGTGCAATATCATATGTACACTGATAAACAGTTAAATGTATGATGTTATAAAATTGTGAATATTATAACATCATACATTTATTATATACCTCTGGTAAAATATGTTGTGAAAGTTCTTCATGTGAAAAAACATGTACAAATTTTGAGAAATGCAACAATAGAAGCATTCGAACTTGACTGTCTCTCACTCCAAAAAGCTGCATTAATCTTGGCTTCAAGTGTTCCTTAAATACATTTAAGCTAAAGAAGCCATTACTTTCTCCATTTTGTAATCTTTCTAGAAACAAAAAAAAAGATTAGTTTTTCTTAATGCAAATATGCTATTTGTATAGTCGATTATTTCTCTTACTATATATATCATACTTCTCAATATTTATAATTATTTCAGAAATAAGTGTTAACTTTTATTAATTGATAAACATAAATCACATTCATAATCATCAATGTAAAATAACTATACTATAAAATCTATGTATTAATTATTGAACCTCTTTAAAAACGATGAACATGTAATTTAATAAAAAAAATATTGTTTTTCATAGATTAAAGCACTAAAATTACATTCTTTATTGTGCTATGTGTATCGTGAATCCATTCTATCAAATACATCATTTTAGCAAAAGATACCGAATACTCTTACATCGTTAATGTTTTATGGGTATCAAATATCTTTGGGTTTGTTTTCAAATAACGTCCTGGAACATACTGTAAATTATAAAAATGTCGGACCACCAGCAATTTATTTTTAAATTTTTCAAGAGAGGAATGAAAGTAAGAGCCATGATCAGGCTTAATTTTAACAACTACTTATACCTATATGAGGATTTTCAATAAAATAAGAGGATATCCTTGGCTAAAAATTCTAAAGTGCTAACTCCATTTTTGGTTAAATTGACTATTTAGTATCTAACGAAAGAGAAAAAAATAACGCATTATCGTCAAACATGCTAACTACGCAAACTAAACCCAGATTATAGATTTCGCGCCGCAATCTTTTATGCTAACTCCACGCGTGTCAAATCACGCGCGAAATCATGTTAACTCCCGCCATTCGACGCCATCTTCTAGTTGCATACGCAGTACTATCAGCGTTCCCGAGAATTTTTATTCTAAAATACCTATAACCTCTTCAGACCGTAGGTACTCATACGAGGACCTTAGCATTTTTAGAATTGCAACAGTTAGCGACATCGTGTGACAACTGTCAATACTAATGAAAGTCGATAAAGGATACAGAGCTTCTATCTAAACCGATAGATGGCTTTTAGACAATAGTTTTGACACGTAAAATTAAGTTTGAAATTGTTCGTTTGAAAATTTTCCGTAGGTCTGTCACGTTCGAACTTTGAAAATCAATATAAAATTATTTTGTTTGCTTCAAGTCGAAAGTGTTGTAGTTTTGTATAGCTGAATAACTAAATTTATGTTTGAAAGGGTGAGTTTTTGTTTCTGTTTGTTTTTTTTGTATCAAAATTCGAATTTTTTTGCTGTTCCACGTATGTGGACCTCAGGATTTAACGTTGGTTTTAATAGCATATTACTATTTTTCAGTTCTATCATGAATGACCGGGATATTGAGGATATTCTCAATAAAAGTGACTTTGACTTCTCTGGCAATGAAGATGACAATGATTACTTGCCTCCAGAAGTGGTAAGGGCTCTTCATCAGTCCGACGATTCAGAAGAAGATGAAGAAGAAAATTTGACAGAAGCGGAACCTGGAAGGTCAGCACCGTTGTTTTGGCGTACAAAAGAAATGCGTTGCCGTGGACCAGACATCGCAGATGATGAGCTCGTAGCGCAGGGTACTTCAGAGATGAACATTTTGTATTGTTTTTTTGAGTACTTGGGAACAGAATTCTGGGAAATGGTGGCTGAACAAAGTAACATTTATTCTGCTCAAAAACGTGATCTAAAATCATTGAAAACAAACTCCATTGAGATTATTCATTTTGCGGGTATGCAATTATTGATGGGTACTCTTAAATACCCCCAAGGAAAACTTTATTGGACTAGAGATTTATGTGTGCCTATTATCAGGGATACCATGCCTCGGGACCGATTTTTTGAACTTCGCAATTATCTCCACTTCGTAGACCTGAACTGTCCAGATACTAACGACAAACTATGGAAAATAAGGCCAATAATTAATCCAATTTTAAAGAAATGCCACAGTTTGCCTCGTTCTAAACACATGTCCATAGACGAGCAAATGATACCATTTGCAGGGCGATGTGAGTACCGTCAGTACGTTCCAAGTAAACCTAATCCACTTGGACTTAAAAATTTTGTACTCGCTGCCCGAGATGGAATAGTGTTAGATTTCGAAATATATGTTGGTAAAGACACCATATCACCAGAAATTATGAAAAATTTGGGACTAGGAGGCGGCATTGTGCAAACTCTTTGCCGCACCATTGAAAGCAGTTGTGTTCTTTACACCGATAGGTTTTTTACTAGTTTAAAACTGGCCGAGCATCTTATTGCAAATAATAATCAAATATTTCTAACTGGAACTGTTATGACAAATAGAATTGGCCCAGTATCTACGAAATTGAAGCCAGACAAGGAGTTGCAGAGAGGGGCCTGGGATGAAAAAGTCCGAAATGATGATAACATATGTATCGTGAAATGGAAAGACACAAAAGCGGTAACATTGCTATCTACATGTACAGGAGGTGAGCCAGCAACTACGTGCCAGCGTTGGTGTAAGGTTAGAAAAGAAAAGATAGATGTGACACAGCCAGCTGTTGTAAAAACCTACAACACTTGCATGGGCGGAATAGACTTGTGTGATCGGCTCATTGCATATTATCGGAGCTCAATGCGCACAAAAAAATGGACAGTTAGAACGTTTTGTCACTTTCACGACCTTGTGGTTGTCAATTGCTGGTTGATGTACATGCGTTGTTGCAAAGTTGAAAATGTGGAAAGCAAGCATAAGCTGGGATTGCTTCAATACCGCTTGAATTTGGCTAAAGCCTTGATGAAGTATGACGGTGGTAGAGTGGACCCAAATTTTATGCGTCCTGGCTCCAGATCTCAATCTAGCCCTGGCCCCTCGGCAGTTTCCAACTCAAAAATCACGGACGTGGGCTGTGATGAGCCTCCTGCAAAAAAAAATCGAGCGGTTGTACCCCATCCGCTACCTGAAACAAGGCTGGATAATGTGGGCCACCTGCCACGATTCATTGATTCCAAGAACGCATCCAAATGTCGCCATCCGACATGTTCATCCAAATGCC